AGTCAATTAGCTTTTCTAACGTGGTGGGATATTTTTTTTTGTGTGTAGTTGAAATTTATAAAAGAAGGAATTATGAAATAAGGTTAATTTTATGTTTTGCAGAAATCTGTTTGTGGTAAGTATATTTTATTGTAACCTATATTTTATAATTCTGATAGTATTTTCAATATTCATAACCTCACTTCTTCCAAAGTCACGTTTTCGATTTTATGCATGTAGCAATTTTACAAAAGTTAACTAATTTTAATAATAATTCTATTTTACGTTATCCTTGCCATGTGCTATTTGTTTAATTGTGATTTGGTAAAATAATTGGCAAGGAAGTTAACCCCCTTTGATGTCTCTCTGATACACCCTGTGATGTATTCTAGTTTTTGGGATAGTTTATTAAATAAACGATGGATTACCCACATATAACTCTAACTAACTAAGACTGCAGCTGTTTTCAAGACCACTCAAATGGCAAACAACTAAGACCTACCCACATAATCTGGAGGCAACAACAACCTATACAGAAGCAAGCAACCTATCGATGCCATAAGTAATATTTCATTTTATTGTAAAGCTATAAGCAGGGTTTGCTTGTGCAAACTAAATATTACTTTTTGTTTTTTGTTAAATGAATATGATTAGTTAATGCATTGTTTTATTTGTTACCAACTCAATTTTCATTGTTTAATTCATAGTTTGAGACAAGACGGATTAACACTTGAGAGACTGAGCTAGGCGAAGCATAGACGATAAGCTCCCATAGTTGATTGAGATATTATTTTATAATAGTATTTTAATTCTCTTTGGAAGTTTTACCGTTACACATTGGCACCGCTTGTTTACAGGTTGAAGGATGCTATGTCGTTACTTTTTGTTGCAAACAGATATAGAAAATGTAATACAGCGTATAATGAATGGTGTAAATAGTGAGCAGGAAGCTCTAAAAGATAATAGAAGTGACTAGGAGTTAGTACAAAGTAATTTGGGGTTTAAATCAGACGATTCATATCAAGAAAATGACTCTAAGAATAGTAATAACTTAGAATTTTCAGCCATCCAGTCTAACCAGTTTATCTTTAAATTGAATGGATTCAGATATAAAAGCAATATTCTTAAGAAGCGAAAAATAAATAGAAGAAGTACCTAGAATATCAGGTGATAACGCCACTGTTTCTCAGTTTATTGTAAATCCCGGAAATGCTCTTAAAGGTAATAACGGGCAAAAGTGGTCAAAAAAAATCCTTTATTGTCACAAAAAACAGCAGCTAGCAATATTATTCATTTTATAGCTGTCCAAAAAAAAAAATGCCAAAAACTACACAAAAGTTGAAGAATATTTCTTACATTTTTTTTTCAGTTGATATATTATGTCATACTCTGATATTCCCAAATACTAAAATTACAAGGCAATCTAAAAAATATACCTAATACACATTATTCCCTGATTCGGTCCACGTTTAAGGCCCTCATAAATAAGCACCCCGACTACCATAAAATCTACACAGATGCATCTAAATCCAAAGACGGAGTGGGGGCATCAATCGTTTCTTCAGAAAACAATCTTCTTTTCCGTTTACCCTTAGCATGCAGCACATATTCAGCTAAACTCTACGCCATATACCGTGCTATGAAACTTCTTAACGAGCTTACACTCACAAAAGCCCTTATCATAACAGATTCCCTTAGCTCTCTAAACTCATTAAAACACATTTTTTCGAAACATCCTTTTGAAAAGTTGCTAAAATACCAGCTTTCCCAAGCTCATGAACATGGAAGAAGCGTCCAATTTTTATGGGTTTCCTCACACATTGGTATAACAGGAAATGAAGAAGCTGACAGGATTGCACGAGAGGCTATTTTAAGTGATTTGTCGGAGTCAATAGACAAGTGTGTTTCCAGTGACTTGTGTTGTGTTTGTGGCGAAATGAGTGGTCTCGAACTAATTTCAATATAAATAAAATTAAAAATAATGTGTCTCAGTGGTTTCCATCGCCGCGCAATAGACGGGAACAAATTGCGGTTGCGCGTTTACCTTTTCATAAAGAATAATCCACCTATATGTGATCAGTGTAACGTCCGATTAACAGTCGAACACTTTTTAATAATTTGTAGTAAATATAACCAAGAAAGACAGCGCTACAAGATCCCAAACGCTCTACCACAGGCTCTAGGTCAATACTGTCCCTATGAAAATATAGTGAATTATCTCAGATCCATAAACATTTTGTACAATCTGTAGGTGTCTAACTTTATTATTTATATTTTGTTTCGTCGCTTATAACCTTTTGTTGAATGAGACATCTTTTTCTAATAAAAAAAAATATACCAGTCGTGCTAGTACTTCTAATATGAGTAAAAAGGATCTGAAAGCTCTATTGGCAATTTAAATAAAGTCTACGGTAAAGAAAGACAGTCATCTATTTATAAAATATATGTTCGACAGTAATATATGACTACTAATGGGGTTAGTGCAAAAAGGATATAACTGACATTTTTAAATTTTTTTAAGAAAGTGCAGAAAGCGCAGAAAATAATACTAGAGCGTATGTTCTTTCAGAGCAAAAACGATATAAGCGTGTTTAGTTACTACTGGTGCTATTTAATAATTGGTAGATAAACCTACTTAACAATTCCTGAATAGTTGTTGGAGCAAAACAGGTATAATATCGCTTGTATCGTTTGCGCACTCAACGGTTTCTTGCAGACTGTTTAACGTATTCGTTTCGGCTAGTGCGTTTTTTCATTGACGTTGTGTGTTTACAAAGTTTTTGGGTACATAATTGTTGATCTACGTTATATAAACCGAAATATATTTATCATCTTGTATCTTTGGAGAGGCTAATAGTAGCAAAGAGGATAAGATCAAAACCAGGCAAAAATAGAAGCTGTCTTGAAAGAAAGACTACTGATATGCCCGAGGCATCAAAATTGACAGTACAGAATACGTTGTATGATATGTACCAACACAGTAGGTTTCGGTTTCTTCAGTGTGAATTTTATGATAAACAAGAACCTGGGTAGGTACTTCAATTTTCATAAAATTTTCTATCCACTTATTTTTGGCTATCAAAGACGTTAATGAATTCTTCTTTTTTTTAGAGAAGCATGTTACTCTGTAGAGTTTGACATGTCCTTTAAGAAATAAAGAAGTAGTGTAAAAGTAAAGTAAAAATAGTCCGAAAGTTTGGAGAAACTGGGCACGTTAAACATTTTCCAAAGGCTGGGCGTCCTAAAATTGAAGACAATGTAAAACTTGATATTTTATTAAATGTACATGGCAATCCTCACATTAGTTCAACACAAATGGGTGAATATACTAAAGTTTCCCAACGATTTAAAAAAAGAAAAATACCATCAAAACAAAATTCAACTACATCAGCAATTAAAGGACGATGATTCCGATCGCCGGCTTCAATTTTCTGAAATTATGCAGGATTTATGTATCTGCAATTCACATTTCGTTAATCAAATCCTTTCTTCCGATGAAGCCACATTTTTTATACGTGGTACCGTGAATCGTCAAAATTGCGGATATTGGAGTCAAGAAAACCCACATTGGATGACTGAGTCACACACGCAATAACCTCAGAAAGTAAATGTATGGACAGGAGTCGTTGATGACAGAATCATTAATCCTTTTTTCTTTGAAAAAAATCTAACAAGAGAACGTTTTTTAACTTTTTGAGAAATCAACTTATACCTGTCTTTGCTAACATGTATCCAAATACCAATAATCTAAATTTACCTAGTGAAAATATCTGGTTTTAATAAGATGAAATTGAACGAAAGACGCGGTTTTATAGAGTGGCCAGCAAGGTCTCCAGATCTAACACCTCTAGACTTTTTCCTGTATGTTTACATAAAAAAGATTATGTCAATAGACCCCAAAATTTACAGGATTTGAAAGATAGAATTAGGTATGAAATGAGTCTAATTACTCCAGAAGTCATCCGCAATGTAGTTGATGAATGTCCAGGAACCGATGGATGACATTTCGAAGATTTAATTTAGAATGATTATTATGCATAATTTGGTTACTTTAAAGTACATTATGAATTAAATCATTAGTTGTAATTTAGTTGAATTTAAATTAAAAACAATTGTTTTTGTACCCTTAAAAAAATACTTTAGTTAAAAATGTTATGTCGTTAAATAGAGAATTAAATTCTCATTTAAATGAGGTGTCGCGTTATACCGAGTTCTATTTAAAAAAAGTTAACGATTACGTCACTACACCTACATCGCTGACAGCATCCCTACACTTGGCGGTTCTCGAAATAATAATAACAATATTTTAAAGGATTAAAATTTATATTTCCATTATTTATTAAAACACCATGTGGTCCATATGTATGGAATAAATTCATTTTTACCGTTATTATGTACTAGGTGAAAAAAAACCTGAAATGGGTCGATTTTTATTCTTGAATTCACAATTTACAGTACAAAAATATTTTACCCTTTTAGCACCCCCTTTGAATTATAAGCACCCCCTCGAAAATTTTAAATGACAAAGGGGGTCGTGTGACACTTTGTTAGAAAGGGATTTTAGTCCTCTGTTCAGCAATATAAAGTTTTTTTTTAATTTGTGCCATCATAACTAAGAAAATTGATTTTTCCAATTCAATTAAATGTTCAACTTGACCACCATTATTCACTTCTTGACAATAACCGAGGCGATTTTGGAATTCTCGTACATTTTGTATGTCCTCAGGGGTTATTCTGTTAATTTCTTCCGTTATTCTAACTTTTAAATCAGCAGTATTGCCTGGTCTATTAAAATATACTTTAAAAATAGTCAGGTTTTTTCGTATCTGTTTTGCTAAACATTAGGGAAAAAACTTTAAAGAAAAGATAATAAAATATTAGTTAAAAAGCCAAATAAACTATTGATATGAATCTAGTAGGCTGCTGTCATCTAGGTATTTAAAGATAGTAAAATATTTTTGCGCGGATTAAATTTAATTATAGCTCATTTGTCAGAGACTCAAAGAATGGACATTTTAATTATGATTGGTTGTGGTAACAAAACAAGAACTCAAAAGGAGGTTTGTGAAATGTTTAATGATAAATACCCGGGTAAACAAGTTTCACAGTCTACAGTTAGCACAATTGAAAAGAAGTTTCGTTATTCTGGACATGTAAAAAATATTGAAAAACCAGGTAGAACTGTTAAATTTACTGATGAAAAAAAGTTAGATGTACTTCTAGAGATTGAGAAGAATCCGCATAAGACAACTTGAGAATTTGCCGCCGTCAATGATGTAAGTAAATCATCTATTTTGAGAATTTTGCACAAAGAAAAATATCACCCTTACAAACTTCAGTTGGTTCAGGAGTTAAATGAAGATGATCCTGATATAAGGCAAGAAATCTGTGAAATAATGATGGACAGAATGAACGTGGATTTGCAGTTCATAAACAAAATAGTGTTTTCTGATGAAGCGACGTTTCATTTAAACGGAACGGTTAACGAACAGAACTGTAGATATTCTACAGAGAAAATCCTCATTGAGTCTGTGAGACTCACGCGCAATATCATAAAAAAGTTAACGTTTGGGCTGGTATTATTAACATTAAAATTATTGGTCCTTATTTTTTTGAGTGCACAGTTGATGGTGAGGTTTATCTAGATTTTTTTATTAACTTTTCAGTGCCTACACTACGAAGATCTTTTCCAGATGGTGATTATCCAAATGAAATAGATCAATCTATTTACTACCAACAAGATGGAGCTCCACCGCATTTTGCACGTATAGTTAGAAATTATTTAAACGAGGTTTTTCCCAATAGGTGAATTGGAAGTCGTGGAACGATCGAATGGCTGGCTAGATCCCAGCCATTTTTCTCAGTTATAATTGCACAAATTAAGAAAAACTTTATATTGCTGAATAGAGGACTAAAATCCCTTTCTAACAAAGTGTCACACGACCCCCTTTGTTATTTAAAATTTTCGAGGTGGTGCTTATAATTCAAAGGGAGTGCTAGAAGGGTATATTATTTTTATACTGTAAATTGTCAATTTAAAAATAAAAATCGACCTGTTTCAGGTTTTTTTCACATAGATAATAACGATAAAAATGAATTTATTCCATACATATGAACCGCATGGTATTTTAATGTAAAACCTTTTTATATTAATGTAATCAGGCAATGTGCTTACGATTCTGTACGCAACTGAGAGAGCAACAACACGAGCAATTTGCAATTACCATAAATTGCGACAGGTTCCCAGCAAACTCATTAATCAACGAAAACTTTCACTGGTGGTACCGCCACCAATTCGACTATCATACAACTAGAACTTTTAGAAGTGGAATATGCAGAACTGGGATGTCGCGCGAAACACGTGTGTTTGAACTTTCAGTCCCCTCAAGTCGTAAATTAGACAATTAATTCCTCCATTTACTTTAGTTTCATGTCCCAATTTCGTTCGATTGGTTTTGTGGGGTAATTAAAATTCCCTACTTCATGAGTTCTCATTAAATGCTAAATGTTTATACACACCGGTCTTTAACTAATTTTCGAGATTAACTTATATATATTATTATTATATATATATAATATATATATATATATATATATATATATATATATATATATAGATATATATATATATATTTATATATATATATATATATATTAGAGATTAACTTATTATATAATTTCCTATTCAAATACAGGTACAGAAAACCAATAAAGACAAGGGCCGCTAAAATCTCCCTTCTACTTTGACCATCTAAGAGAGAAGAAGATTTAAGAGGTTGGTGTCTTCAAACCTGCAAATTAACCACGTTGTTCCACTTTACATGGCGTGTAGTACAGGTTAAGAATAAAATAAAAAGATGTAAAACTCTCTAGAGATGACGTTCTGTCCTATACATAAAAGTTCAAATTGTGCATTGTCTTTGTACCAGTCTTTGTAAATTTACATTACATGTTTTTCCTTTTTGTGAAAAAAAACTTTGACCTTAAAAAATTTTTACAACTTTGACCAGCTTCTACGGCATTATTCTCAAAATCGTAAGTAACATAAATTTAATTAAAATAGATTGTCAATTTTCATGTGAAACTATTTGTAGCTTATCCTTGATGATGTCGATAACTATCGACGAAATATTGGATTAATAAAGGACTAAAGAGTACACTTAGCCTATCCTTTCAGCTGTTTTTACCCAAAGAGTCTTAAAGTTTAGTTTATTTTCTAACTTAACCAGCTGCGATTAACACAATATATATATATATAATATATATATATATATATATATATATATATATATATATATATATATATATATATATATATATATATATATATATATATGATTGGTACAATAAAAAACGACAGTTTAATTAAAAAAAATTAAACAGGCAGCGACCATAGACTAATCAGTGCAAAAATTGTTCGGGATATAAAATTAAAAAGAACAAAATTAATCACAAAACCAAGAGTAGCCGGTATAAATAACAATCTAAAAGAAAACTTAGATCACTACCAAAAAACAATTGATGAAAGAATACATGACAAAATCGACAGGTCTCAATTAATGGAATCATTCTTGATATTGCCGAAGAAATCGGACGGCAACAACAAAATCAACATAGTAATATGTCTGATAAAACTCAAATAATTAAGGAATTATTATTAAGTATTAAGGAAGACATAAGAAAATACAATAGAAAGACTGATAGAAAATGCAATCGAAAACAGGAAAAACTATAAGAAAACAAAAAATCATTAATAATTGGGAAGAAGCAAATCGTTTCTCTAACAGACGAAAACACCAGAATTACAGTCAGAAATAAAATAATAATACTCGTAACTAAATTCTACAACGAACTATACAAAGACCTTGATACATTTGAAGAAGTAATCAGTAACGAAGAAGATGAACCAAAATTCCTTTCGGAAGAAGGAGAATCGAAAATTGCAAAAATTAAACTGCTTAAAAATGCTGGTATTAAAACCTGAAAAATTTGAGTAGGCAGAATTACAAACTGCCTAGGATCGAGATGCATATTAGACCACTGGAATACAGCAAACATTATTCTCGTTCATAAGAATGATAGCAAAGAGGATATCAGAAACTACAGCCCTATAAGTCTACCACCAATCGTATATAAGATATTTACAAAGATGACCAACAACAGATTAAGAAACGCATTAGATGCTGCAATGCCGAGAGAACAAGCTGGCTTCATAAGTGGATTCAGTACCATAGATCATATTCATACACTTCAAGAACTAATGAGTAGAGCTAAACAATATAAAATACTGATAATAATAACCTTTCTAGGTTGCAAGAAGGCTTTTGGTTCTATATATCCCAAGGCAGTAATAGCAGCTTTGACCAACCAAGGCACTGACAAACCCTGATTTTACCAATAATTTTATTCAAAAATTAGAACTAACTGGTACTAAGCGATTATTTTAGGATATACTTTTTTTATGAACTTACCAATAAGTCAGTAAGGATCTAAGACTTACCTGAAAAAAAAAGAAGAAATTTTAGATTTTAAAGAACATAATAACTGAAAAATGTTGCAGAAATATATTAACAAAATGATTCAATGTAATACAGCTAAAAACTGTTATTTAAGGTATTTTAAACGATTTCTGCTGTTTATCACAATGTTTTTCGGGAATAGCTTATGTATCAAAAATCAAATAAGTACACCTAACTTGTTTTGGCAGTCTATTTTGTGTGAAATATTCATTCTAACGAATGTTGGAGTGTTACTTTGCCAAGTTTTAAAGTTTTTTAGTCAATAAATTTTTAGTCAATATTATTTTTAATTTTCTTAAAAGTGCGGTTATGTTTGGTGAAAATTAAGTATTTTTATTTTAAAAGATCTATTAACGATTTCGCTGCAGACGCCGCACCTGTGCGGCGTAACGAAGTTTAGCCATATGCGGACGATGCACATGTGTGGCGTCGGTACACTTAAATTAAAATCATATTTTCTGAAAGTAGCATAGCATATAAGTTTATAGAATTTTATCAGCATATTAATAGATATTCAGCCTATTATTAGGCAACTTTCGTTTCTAGTTATGATTTTTATTTTACACTCTAGATGGCGTCCCGTTTTAGGTATGTACGAATTGAGAATTTAAGTATTTGTACATTGTAACCTTATTTTCGTTATAACGTATTATATACTCTGGTGTGTAAACATTATATTAAAAAGGCGGATTTAAGTAAACCTGGACCTTCTAGTGTAAAAAAACGTAAGGTTGTACAAGTCCGAAATCCTAATAAGTACAGTGGAAGAAATGATGGAGTTTTTATATGAGTCAGAACAAGAAAGCTTGTTAGACGACAATGATAGCGATTATGAATGTAAGTTAGCAAAAGAATAAATATATAGGATTTTAATTTGTATCTATTATTTTATTTCTAGATCAAATACAGAGCGAAAATGAAAGTGACAATTCTACAAGCGAAGACGAATATTTACAGGTGGGTGAGAAAAATTCAGTTGTTTCTAAAATAAATAATCAAGACATTTTAAAGTGGAAATGTGAAATTGACAAATATGACCTTTTGTTAAAGAAAATAATTAATTGGTTGAATCATCGGGTGAGCATCCTTACGATTGGATTAGAATATTGGTTGATGACGAACTTTTAGAAATGATAGTAGAAGAAACCAATATGTGTGCCGTGGAGGTCCTCTGTACTAGTAGTGGTAAAGAAAAGTCAAGAATTTCAGCTTGGAAAGAAATAACTGTTTCAGAACTACTAATTTTTTTGCGACTTACCCTACATACAGGAACAATAAAACTAAATAATCTGCAGGACTACTGGAAACAGCATCGGTTATTTTCTCTTTGTTGTGGAAATTATATTAGTCGAGACCGATATTTACTTACTATGTGATGCTTACATTTTCATGAAAATATATATGATCCACAGATAAGAACAGATCCACTTTATAAAATAAGACCACTATTAGATTTTTTCACACAAAAAATAAAAAGCATCTACTATCCAGGCAATAATTTATCATTAGATGCATCAATGGTTTTATTTAAGGGAAGACTTCTATTCAAACAATACCTTCCTCAAAAGCGACATAAATATGGAATCAAAGTTTATATGTTAACCGAAAGTGATGGGACCGTTTTAGATTTAGCAGTTTATACAGGATATAATGATGTACTAGGTGGTAAAGATTATGCACAGAAAGTAGTACTGCATCTTATGCGCAACTATTTGCATTCTGGTCACTCTCTTTACATGGATAACTATTACAATAGCTATCATCTAGCTAAAACTTTAATCGACAAAGGTACTTTTTGCACAGGCACTCTACAAAAAAAACAGAAAAAGTTCCCCAGAGGATGTTTTAAAGTTAAAGTTTAAAACAGGTGAAACGAAAGCCAAATATTTAAATAGCGTCATGATTGGGAAATGGTGTGATAAGAGAGAGGTAA